GGTAGTAACATAGCGCACCTCGAGAATTTTTTGCTTATGTGGCAAGTAGTTAATGAGAAATAGTAACATAATATGTTACTGTAACATAGCGCTTTCCAAGACAACATGAGTCTACAAGCTATTAAATGAGGCCACATATGACACTAGTACTATGTTATTTTGCACTATGAAAATAGTAACTTAGACTAGTGTCATGCATATGACACTACTCCCCACTATGACCAGCTTAAGGACTTTTTCTAGTCCCTACACAAAAAAGTCCCTGTAAACAAACATCCTGTAGTGTCAGTGGCGCCCGTTCAGGTCCCAAAGCATTTCAGTTATGACGCTGCCATCGCAAGCGACGCATAGATAAATGCACCAAGCGTTAACTCATCTAGCCACCCAGGTAACCAAAGCAGCTCTAGAATCTCATAGCATGCTTGGATACGTTTTAGTCCCATGACTAAAAGTAGTGGGACTAAAACTTGCTAGTTTCACCCATGCTTGGATCCAAATACTAAAGAGACTAAAATCTAGTTATTGAGCATTTATTATCCTCCAAACCCTCCAATCCAGAACTAAGGAGAGGAATTAAATGAGGAGAGAGAGAGCTAATACATATTTTAGTAGGTTTCCCATGACTAAAAGATTTTAGCCTCAAGACTAGTCCTAGCCTCTCTTTAGTCTGGGGTGCTTGGAACTTTAGCCTCTAAAAGAGACTATCCAAGCACCCTCTCAATCCTCCCAACCTGAACTACTCCAGGTTCATCTCTGGAGTCTTGGCCATGGCAGCCGTGGACTGGTCCTCTCTCCCGAGCGACCTCGTCCGCCGCGTCGCCGACTGCTTCCTCGCCGCCAACGACGTGGACTACTACATGGACCTCCGCGCCGTCTGCGGCAGCTGGCGCTCCGCCACCGACGACCCCAATGACAGCCCGGACGACCCTCGCTTCCGGCCCCGGCAGTGGGTCGTGCTCGACGACGACGTCTTCCGGAGAGAGGACACGCGCCTCCTGGTGAACACCCACACCGGCCGCTTCCTCCGCAAGGAGCTCCCTCTGCTCGCCGGCCACCGCTACGTCGCCACCACTCCCGGTGGATTCTTCGTGCTGGCGGACTACGATGACTATTACGCCGCTCGCGTCCTCAACCCTTTCACAGGCCACATGATCCATTTCAGGGCAACCGTGCCCTCCGACATGGTGGATGCTGCTGCTGTCATCGGGTCGCCCCCCACCATCATCTTGCTCTGCGGCTCGGATCGTAAGTGGTACATGGCTAGCCCCGACAGTAGAAGTTTTGCTGTGTACCAAGAGGAGGACGCCTACCCGCTGATCCGGCTGGCTGTCGCCGGTGGCATGTATGCCGACGGCGAGCAGAGACCGGTGCCGCCGCTGCCAGCTGCCGTGGCCGACAAGATCTTTGATCTGATGAGGCTGTTCTCCGTTGATCCATCCGAGATGTTCTGGTCTGATGTTATTGAGCATGTTGCCGACGATGCTCATGCTCTTGAGATTGGGCATGCAAACAACAACCGCTGCTACCTGGTACAATCCCTGGGAGAAGTGTTCATCGTCTTCAAGCTGCAGCATGGCATGCAGGTTTTCAGGATGGACGACTCTAACCGGGGTGTACTCGAGCCTGTGAAGAGCATCGGTCACCACGCCATCTTCGTCGGCTGCTGCAGGTGCCTGGCTGTTGATGCCGATAAGTTCCCATCTGTTGAGGCCAATTGCATCTACCACCTAGTAGGTATGAATCTATAAGGTGATTTCTACTTCCATGACGTCTACAAGTTTGACCTCAAGGACGGGACAGAAGAGATGGTCTCTGAAGCCATAAGTTGGTCAGATCCCATCACACGGAGGGATGCTGACTCTCCTTTCACAGCCGTTCAGCTCCTCTCCAGCTACACCATCAACGTCCGGGGTTCTGAACTTGTGATTCCGGAAACGTGTCGAGTAGATATTGATCAGTTAGTGGAGGAGTTCTTCTCAACTGAGGATAAGGAATTCTTCGCAATGTTTCCTCTGCAGTTAGGTTAATTTCCCTATCCCATGTTCAGGCAAGAAGCAAAGTTAAGTCTAGTAACAGAATATCTAATGCTTGTAATGCTTTCTGGTACCTGCGTCCGTGTGTTCTTCCCTAACTCCCACTTATTAGCAATGAAATATGTTGGTTCAAATCTGCTTCCACTTCTTGATTTGGCATTGCAATTCAATGGACAGACCCAGTGCATAGAAGCTCCCACACAAGGTGGGGTCTGGGGAGGGATTATAGGAACCTAGTCTTACCCCTGCAAAGTGCAATGCAGAGAGGCTGGTTCGAACCCAGGACCTCTTGGCACAAGTGGGGAGGACTTCACCACTGCGCCAGGCCTGCCCTCTGGCATTGCAATTCAATCACTCAGCATAATATTAAGATGACAGTGTCCTTGACAATGGCTTCGTGCCCACCAACGACGACTCTTAATCAGCTGAAATGCCCTATCTTTTTGCACTCCATTCTGCACAAATAAGATTTCAAGCGTATGTGTAATTTTTGCATATTGGAAACAATAGTTCAAATTTGTACATCATAGTGGTGAAAAGATAGCTCTAGCTTGATACAACCAGCACAAATCGTTGGCAATCTAAAAATCTCTATGTAGTCAACAATCCAATCTATATAGATTATGACTATGTTCACTTATCTTGTTCCAAATTGCTATTAGTATTTAATCCATGATGTTACAATTAAATCCCAGGCATTATGAGTGATTCCAATTATTAGTTTTTATATTTAATTTACTTCAGATGCAAGGACAAAGCTCTGCGTTAGAAGCATAAGATCGATTCAGAAATTAAAATCTGGAACAGCTAAGTGTTTAATTTTGTTGAGATGCCTGTATATATATTGGTACCTAAGTCTCAGCAACAATGTTCAATTTTAAGCATATCAAGAAACAACCCGTTTATACTTCTATTAGGAAATACACAGCATATACAAGCATCACATTTCTCAATTTTAAGTTATTATATGCTTATTAGAATGGAGAATATATTGCCTCACACCAAATATTCTGGCACTCCATATTCCATCCATCTCCATGCATGAGAGTTGAGACCATACAGGATAAAGCACAAGCACCAGTTCATGAAAGTGCACATAAGCATAGCTGCATATTGCAGAGCATGGCATGCATTTAACTAGATAAGCTCAAAAGGTTTAGTGTGCAGCTGATTAAAGATCAATACAACAACAACAAAGCCTTTAGTCCCAAACAAATTGGGGTAGGCTAGAGGTGAAACCCATAAGATCTCGCGACCAACTCATGGCTCTGCCACATGGATAGCAAGCTTCCACGCACCCCTGTCCATAGCTAGTTCTTTGGTGATACTCCAATCCTTCAGGTCTCTCTTAAAGATCAATACAGCAGTACTAAATTAAAATGTTATGGAAATGAGGGGGCTCAACTTGATTAAATGTTAATACCAGCACCAACATGTAATAGACATATTTACTTCCACAAAAGCAACTGCTGAGTAAAAAAAATTGTGAGTTTACATGGTTTACACATTTCAATAAAAAAATCATATCACAAGTAATATATCGTCAAATAATAGTTAGGATATAAGAAGGCATCAACTCTTCAATCACAGTGAACATACACATTCTGTACCAACTACCAAGATCAGACTTTTAAGTGGGTTTAGATATATTAGTACAATAAATCAGTAACTACTCTCAGTATCTCAGAGATAAGCATGAAGAGTGAAACAGAAAGTTCAAAATGTAATGTTACACTACTAACTCTCTACTACATAACTGATGGAGTGATGAGTTTTGTTACTTGTGTAGTTGGCAACTGTTGCATTTATCCCTGGCATCTTCAATCTCAGCTCAAGCTTGTTTGGATCAATCTTCCAGTTGCAACAAGCTAGGTCAGGCATGACCTAGCTCAGACAGGCTGGACTCACTTCCAGCCATAGTAGTATTGTATATTGGTGTTATTTTCTTTTGCACTGGCACTGAAAGGCCCCAATATCATTAGCCCCTGAAAGCTTTTCAAAACTGAAGTACATACTGGCAGATGGACTTCAGATAGGAACGGAGTGTCACTTGGCTCAAGTATCAATATCAGGTGTGAGTAGAAATACTGCAAACCTGCTCCATTTTCAGCAAGACCAATATTTCCTTATTGGTTGCTTCATAAACCAATCACTCCCACAAACAATTCAATCAAGTGAAGGTGCACTGGTTCATTGCCCACTTATGATCCTAGTTTAACTCAACTCGGGAATTCTTCATCATCGACAGAATCCGAAAGGTCAGCATGTTCTCTAGACTGACCCTGAACAGTCTGCCTCCCCCGACTCCGCTTTTGCCCTTTCCTTCTCTTTGACTTAGGCTTCTCTTCGAGATCCTTCACCCCACGCCTCTTATACATTTTAAAGCTTACATGCCTCTCCTCCGCCATCAACCTCACCTTCTCAGTGATTTCAGCAGCAATCTGTCTGTTGTACAGTTTTTTCAGTCCCTTCATTAGCTTTGCAAACGTGTCTGGCTGCGGCATCAGCCCAGCCTCGAGCATGTCCAAGCAATACGAGCAGGCCTCCTTGACATGTTTCTTCGCATACAGTGCATGGATCCAGATTGTCCATGCACTCACATTTAGTTCACAGCCTCTGCTGGCAATGCAACCCCAAACATCCTTTGCGAGCTCAAGTTTCTCATCTCTGACTAACGCATTGAGGAGGTCCTTCAGCACTCCGTACTGTGGTGCAACAAATAGCCCCCTCCTGACCATGTCCTTGAAATAATTGCACGCGTCGACCAGCGATCCCTGGCCAACAAGCCCATTCACCATGATTGCGAAGGTGTCGACCCCAGGACTAAGCCCGCTATTCTCCATCTCGTTCCACAATGCCATGGCTTGTTTCGTCTCTCCGAGCTTACAGGACAACCGAATCACCACATTGTAGATACTGAGGTCTGGGGGGCACCTGCACTCCCTCATCCTCTCCATCAGCTCCAAGCACTCCTCCAGCTGCTCCTTCTTCTCATGCGCCACAAAGAACCCAAGGTACACTCCGGGATCCACCCGCAGCCCGTCCCTCGACATGGAGTCCAAGAACTCATACCCCTGGGATAACCTGCCGGCCTTGCAAAACGCACTAACCAGAGCGCCGTAGGTGACAGAATCCGGCGTGCATCCCTTCCTCCGCATTTCAACAAACACCCGCATTACCTCATCGACCCTCCCCTTGGACCCAAGCCCCTGCATGAGGGTGGTGTAGGACACCGCATTGGGAGGGCAATCCCGCCGCTCCATCTCCCTTGTGAGCTCGAACGCGTCCTCGAACCTGCCGTCCGCGACGAATCCCGCGAGCAGGGTGTTGAAGACGACGACGTCCGGGGCGACCCCGGCGGCCTTCATGCGGGCGAGCACGTGCTTGGCCTCGTCGAGCTTGCCCAGGCGGCACCAGCCGTAGAGCAGGGCAGTGTAGTGGCGGAGCTCGAGCGGGAGCCGGGGCTGGAGCTCCTCGACGAGCCGCTCGGCGGCGGCAACGTGGCCGGCCTTGGAGAGCGACTCGAGGAGGGAGAGGAAGAGGGAGGGGTGGTCGTGGGCGGGGCGGGAGTAGAGGAGCGAGAGCGCGAAGGGGAGGATGCGCGGCGGCGGGAGGCGGCGGAGGACGGGCGATAG